TCTCCTATCATCGAAGCAAAACTTCGTTCAATTTTCAATCCCGTTTCATCAATTTTTAATCCATAAGTTTTACCAATTGCTAAGTCCCCGGTATATCGATAAATCGCGCCGTTAATTTCTAATTAATCAAAATTAACCCACCAAAATTCTAATCAATTGATTTCGATCGATTCCTCCATCTCGCGATCATCGTGGAATAAAAATCTCGGGCACATCGGCGACCGGGTTGCTCTCGCGAAAACTGTTTCCACGCGTAGAAATCGATGCGAGACGAGGCGAACGAATCGACAAATTAAAGCGATTTTAATTACACGGACCATCGACACACTCGGCCGTCGTCCGATTTCCCGGCGCCGAATAATAGCCGCGAGTGTTCGCTCGCGATATTTGAACAACGATGATCGATGTCCAACCCCCCTCGTCCACCTGCCGCTCCGATCATCTTGTTTCCCTGGCCGCCGCGGAATCAATATTTAATGGGAGATAATTATAGCGAGAAGGGGGAAATCTACTAACGCGATCATAAATATTGATCGGAGTTTGATGAATGCGGGCACAGCAGCGCGGCTTTATATTCCCATCGTACATCGGCGCCCCGCGGCACCATTTAAACCGTCGCAGTTTTAATTGCTGCTCTATGCTAATATCGGGTAATATCGTGCCGCGGTGCACGCGAATTGCTCGCCGTCGATACAGGATGCACTCGGCGACGCGTCGAAAGTGTACCCGGTTGCGCGAGTTCGCGCGGAAATCGAGCGAATCCCGCGATCGAACGCTTTCGAGATCACGTTTTAACTATTTCAACGGCTTTGCATTTTAAGTGGGTGGGTATTAAAGATGTCCCGCCTTTTTGAGGTGCACCCTAATGCATCTGAAAAATACTGGCACATTACTTAGGGCAGGGATGTCAAACTCGAAAGCTAACTTGGGCCAAATAAACAATGCTTAAATGCCACAAAAAAAATCAATGTTCATAGAAACAAATATTTTTCTTTTGACTAGTACATTGTAATAAATATATATAAAGTTAAATTATTGTTTACGTCCTGATACTTGACATCAAAAATGTTCGTCCCGGGCCGCGAGTTTGACATCCCTGATTTAGGGTGTTATTACAGGGACTCTATTAGAGTCCCACCTTGTAATTTTTCACTTTAAAAAATGTGGACGCGATATTTTCCAGTTTCACCCTCGCGATCGCCCTCAAAATATTATCGAACCAGCTCCACTGAACATTCTTGAGGAAAAAAGAAAAAGATAAGATTCCAACGCGAGCAAGACAACGAATGACGCAAAGAGAACTAGGAAGCTAAAATTCATCGTAGTCGATGGGGTGTTTCTTCTTGCCTCCATCGCATTCCGAAGTCCCCGATGTAGCATTTAATTTAAAAAAAAATCTAGAGATCTAGATTTCACAAACTAGTAAAAAAATCGGCGACCCGCGACGGTACGTTTACATTGTCGCATACCGTTAAATTCGTCGGACGAGAGCTTCGCGAACAATCACGTGAGCGTTCCTCCTTTCTTTCGTCTCACCCCGTTTTCCCCTCTGTAGAGGCGGATGCCAACGGAAAGTCTCGGGCGATTGGGAAATCGCGTTTTTTCTTTCGCGAAAAACCTCATTCCATAGATTCCCGCGCGAACCGAGCGGTAATCCGGTAAAACCATTCCGACATGTTCCCCGAAGCGAAAATGGTTGCCGGCGAACGCAAATCGAGCTTCCCTGCCCGAGGGTATCGCCGTAGACCGGTCCTATTAATGTCCCCGGAACTCAATTTGGCCGCGCGTCGCGATATAAAGCCGCCTTCCAACGGCGGCGGACAATCGGGAAAAATCGGGGCCCTTAAACGTTCAACGGTCTCCCGGGGATAACCGCGAGAAAAAGAAAGGAACGAACTGTTCGAACGTTTTCTTACCTTCGCGAGCCGGAACGACGGGGCCCGCAGGCCCCGCTCCTCCCTAATTGCTTCGATACTCACCGTCCTCCATCCTTTAACCACGGTAATGTCTCTCTAATCGACGCTCAGATTGTCCAACATAAATAGACAATTTTGGAAGAGGAGATACGATTGTTCGAGCCTTGTGGCTCGTTTTTTACGGTTATCGATCGTCAACATCTATAAAAACGAGCCGGATAATCGTACCTCCTCTTCTCAAATTGTCCATTTTCGTGGACAATCCGAGCGTCAGTATGGGAGACATTACTGTATTCGGTATACAGTAATGTCTCTCTAATTGACGCTCGTCCAAATCCCAAATTGTCCATTTTTGTGCAGAATCCGAGCGTCGATTAGGGAGACGTTACTGTATTCGGTCGCGAAATTGTGAAATACGAATGTTAAATTGTGTCGCGGTCTTTTAAAATTGCTACGACTATGGAAGACCGGGCCCAGCGACTCGGACGCTTTCAGCAGAACAGTCGGGACTTTGCGAATGACCGACGACTAAACTGACTATAAATACTATAATACAATCGCGTCCCGCGAATGATTATTGACTGATATTCTGTAACAATTGGTCGTCGTCGCAGAAGTCATTTTATCGATCGCACAAGTTGCCGAATCCCGGCGCCGAATCGTTTGTACAACGGAGTCTCTTCAATCTTGGAAGCAATTTTGTTCCGGCAAATTAGATGCTACCGAGTCAAGGCCCATCAATCTCTCTTCCGGAAGAGCAGCCTAACGTCAGTAAGGGAGACATTACTGTATTCGGTATACAGTAATGTCTCTCTAATTGACGCTCAGATTCTGCACAAAAATAGACAATTTTGGAAGAGGAGATACGATTGTTCGAGCCTTGACATAACCTTAGTATAACCTTGACAATTCGTATACTATATTCGAAAACTATTTATATAATTAAACTATATATATCGTAAACTATATATATTCGTAAACTATAACTATTCGTAGACAATTCGTAAACTACAAAAGCCACCCGAAAAGCTTGAATAATCGTATCTCCTCTTCCCAAATCGTCCATTTTCGTGGACGATCCGAGCGTCAGTAAGGGAGACATTACTGTATACCGAATAGAGTTCCCCTAATTGACGCTCAGATTCTCTTCCCAAATTGTCCATTTTTCTGCGCAATCCGAGCGTCAATTAGGGAGACATTACTGCACCTCGATCATCGTTTCGTCCTCGAAGCGAATTCTGATTTTCCACGTCGTCCTGCCGCTGTCCGTCCATTTTCTGACGTCCCACGCTCCCGTCGATGACTCGGCGACGAACTTTCGGCGCAGGACCGCGGGACGATTCGACGGGGACAGGGCGGAATCGGACCGGAAACCGAACGATCGAAGGATCGATCGATTTTCGAGCGAAAATTCGAAACGCGACCGTCGTGAAAAATGGCCGTCTGGTTCCCATAGTGGCGAGAACCGGTGTGACGTCGTCCGAGGCCATTTATTCCAGCGGCAGAGCGATCGCTGCGACACTTTGAATTCTAATTACGCGGGGGCCCCACGGTTATAGAAAATCTCGCCGGGGCCCCCCTTATCACCGCTATCTGACGTGATTCCGAGAAGATGGGACTTCCTCGATCGCCGGGCCGGACACCTTGTCCACCTACTGGCCGGCCGGCCGGCCACAGTTATGTTCCCACAAACGAACACGTTCGCGGCTACTTTGTCGCGACGCGGCCGTGCCCTGGGTCCGTAATGCTCCCGTGCGGGGGCCCGCCGCGGAAACGCCTTGGGACCCGATCATGATCGTCCTTTAAGGATTCAGCGTGCATTGCGTAACTCTCGGAACGCGGTTCAGTTTCTCTCTTTACGATGCTTCCTTGAAGCTGATATCGATTCTTGATACCGCTCTCTCTCTCTCTCTCTCTCTCTCTCTCTCTCTCTCTCTCTCTCTCTCTCTCTTTCTCGCTCGCTCGCTCGCGCTTTATCCGTCTCTCTTACGGTACAGAGCCGAGGCGCAGAACTGCCGATTGTTTTTCTTACTATCGATAGCTCCGATCAGGAGGCAATTTAAACGAACTTTTAGATATTTTCATAGCGCTTTGATCATTTTTTATTGAAATACTTCGACTATTTATAGGCGAATAGCTTGCACCCTTTTGCCGGAGTTACGGGGGAAATAGTTTCTGCGTGCTCGGCCGTTTTCTATGGAGTCGGCGAGAATGCTCGGCGAAGGGATTAACCCTTTGAGGTTGCATTATCTTCGAAGTTATTGCGATTGGAAGATTTTCGATCGCTATGATTTGTTAGAAAGAAAATCGATGCTTAATTGCGTGTTCCTGGATTTAGTCGGATGCTTAAATATCGTTGGCAAGGGTTTAGAATGTAATTGCAATTTTAACGCATTAAGAGTCGAATATTGATTCGGAAAATTCACGCAATATTGAAATTATGTAATCAATAAGACCGAAGCTAGAACATTTATCGTAGAAAACATTGGTTCGAGTATTTTGTATTCTACAGATCATATTGTACAGTAACATTCGATTTGTTCAATGTATTACGATAAAAATGAATTTCAAAGATCTGGTTAAAAATTAGTGTCATCAATATGTGACTCACGCGGCACTATATAAACATATTAAATATTCATAACAAGAGATTAGAATTTTATTCGAATTTTAAAAGACAGAATAACATCTACACTAAATAAATCATTACTAGAAATTTTCCTGGCGAGTTGGACTTGTCGAAGAAAATGACTTCTCCTAATTTTTTAAAATGAAAACCGGCGATTGTAATCGTACCTTGTACAGTCCATTGCAAATATTTCCATTACATCGTAAGAAGAATATACTATATTTCAAAGAATAAACTATATTTCTTTTTAATTGTTAACGATTAATTTCTAAACGATACCGTTCAAATCGAATGCTATCGTCGATACTCCTTTCGTAAACCGTCGACGATTTTCCACCCCCGGAGACCGCAGAGACCGATTTAAAATAGTCGACGGAGCATTCGCTAATTCGCTGTAGAAACGTGTAAATTAGCAATCGATGCCCCGAGTAATTAGGATTTCCGAGGATACGCACCGATGGTCTCACGAGTCCGGGAACGTACCACGGCGGCCACACCTTGAATTTGCATGTGTCGTTCGGACGTCGCGCTATGCAAATGTAAACGGCCCGTCCGCTCGGAAACTGTTCGACGACAATTCTTGAGGACCGTCGCGCACTGACTGACGTCCCATGGCCACGATGAACCTCGTAATTATCCCCGCCCCGTGTGGATCGACGACGAAACACGAGCGGTCTCGTTTCGCCCGCGGTTTTCCGGCCCGCGCGGCGGTCACAGGTAGCAATTTAATCGGCGGCAATAACGCGCGCGATTCTCGTCGCAAAGAGCTCGCGTCAACGATGCTGTACAGTAATGTCTCCCCAACTGACGCTCAGATTGCGGAGAAAGATGGACAATTTGGAAAGATTTTATTATTATAGTTATTATTATAGTATTATTATTATATTATTATATTATAATATTATATATATATATATATATATATATATATATATATATTATATAATATAATATTATTATATTATTATTATTATATTAATATTATTATTATAGTTAGATTATTCGAGTTTATTATTATAGTTATTATTATAGTATTATTATTATATTATTATATTATAATATTATATATATATATATATATAATATTATATAATATAATATTATTATATTATTATTATATTAATATTATTATATTATTATTATTATATTAATATTATTATTATAGTTATTATTTTATAGTTATTATAGTTACGAATTGTCAGCAACTATAAAAACGAGGCGCAAGACTCGAATAATCGTATCTCTTCTCCCCAAATTGTCCATTTTTCTGCGCAATCTGAGCGTCAGTTAGGGAGACATTGCTGTAACCTTAGCGTCAGTTAGGGAGACATTACTGTATCTACGCGGGGCGAGAGCGGGGATGAGAAAGCGGGTAAAACACAGTAACAGAACAACAAGGGGGGGGCTTCTTTTTAATTGTACCATTATTAATCGTCCACTGTCGTTCTCGCGTGACATTATCATCATTATCATCATCATCATTATCATCGTATCGACAAAATTCATTCCTATATACACGATCGGCGACAATAATAATAAAAAATAGTAATAATAATCGCAAGTTCGTAAACCGTAATCATTGTACATCACTACAAATATACAGAATCCGCAACGGCGCGCACGCGTACCGCGTCTATAATAATTGTGTACGCTCGTATTTATATATTTATATTTATATATTTATATTTGTATTTATATTTATATTTATATTTATATATATATATGTATATTCGTGTGTCTTCGTATATATTATATGTATAATAACGTTACGTCGGTTCGCGCACTTTTTACAACATCGGAATACGTTAGGAATCTTTACACTGAGTATATACAATAATAAAACATGCTCCCCGGGATAAGGAACCGAACCGTTTCATGACACCGAACGACCAAAAAATAAAAAAAGCGACGAAAACAGGAGGCGAACGCTCGCAAACCGCGCCCGTCCGGCGGCGATCACGTTCGATTTTATTTCAAATTTTATTTCGATTTTATTTCGATTTTATTATTCGGCTCTAAAAACTCTCTCTCGACGACGGCTTTCGAACGGCCGCCGGATCCTTGAACGCGGCCCGGAAATCGCCACGCGGAAAACTCGGTTCTTTTTTGCGGAAATGCACGCGCGGAAAGCTCGAGATCGAAACGTTCTCGAGCGTGCGAATGTAAGTGCAAGAGCCGGAGTCCGATCGGCGATCGAATCGATCGTACGATCGTCCGTTTCCCCGGACGGGAGATCTGCGGAGATCGCGCGGGGGGGGGGGGGGGGGGGGGGGGGGGGGGGGGGGGGGGGGTGTGATCGTGGGGGAGTGTCCCGCGATCGCGGCCTCGACGATCAAGATCGTGTAAGTACAAAACATGACAACAGCTTTTATTACGCATTGTATTCCATCATATGTAATTATAATCGTTTATACGTACGTGCCTCGCGTTAATTACGGCTCGACGGAAGAGAGCTGGCATCAGCGTCGTCGTCGCGCGACCGATGAACGAACGAACGAACGAACGAATCGACGAACGACTGAACGAACGGTCGATCGATACGGCTAAACAGATCCTGCGAGCGATCCACACGTCGACGCTGCGCGCCGAAACGCTGTTTCTCGACGCGCGATTTCGATCAACGCTCTCCCCCTCCCTTAACCCTCCCCCCACTCCTCCCAATTTGTTTTCGATTTTCGTCCCACTCTCGGGAAGATTTTTTTATGCTTTGAAATTTGTCCCCGGAAAGAGAGAAATATATATATGTATAGAGAGAGAGAGAGAGAGAGAGAGAGAGAGAGAGAGAGAGAGAGAGACGAAGAGAGAGCGAGAGAGAGGAGAGAGAAAGAGCGAGACGAGAAACAAAAGAATAAGTTGCGACCTGACTCAGTTGTTGTATTGTTGTTGGTAGTCGTGTTTCGTTTATTTAGTAATCATTATTATTTATTAACAGGAACATCATCGAATCTTTGTTCGTTACATCGTCATCGTCGTACGTTTTCGCTACAATTACAATTCGTGTGTGATCGATCACTATAATTCAGTATATTTATCACCACCGGCGTTAATTGATCATCGGCCAAGTAGCGTGGTAGTGTATACTTTGCGTGCATATGTATATACAATAACGAGATATATATATATACACACACAGAGAGACGCACGCACGCACGCGCGCGCGCACGCAGAGAGACAGACACGCACGCACGCACGCATGCACGCACGCAACGCACACACAGAGTCACGGGGACGCGTGTCCCGTTGGAATATACATGTACACGCGCAGAGAAACAAAGAAACACGCACGCAGAGCACGCAGCCATCGCACACACGCATACATACACACACTCGCACGCGCGCACAAATTATGTATACCGGTGTCAATCGATCGTTGTCATCAATCAGCGCGGCATCGTTCGTCGACTACACGTTTTGTTCAGCCGCATCATCCATGTATAAATAAATAATTATCATCAACCGTGCGATAACAACGCGTAATTGTCATTTGTTCGACGTTTCCAAGGTCGAAGCGGGCGAGAACGGTTTCTCTCTCTCTCTCTCTCTTTCTCTCTTTGAAACACAAATAATTTACACACGTCAACAAAGAAACGAGAACGGGGCAATTCGAACGAGACGACGCAGCAGTTGGGGGGGGGGGGAGAAAAAGAAAATGAAATTGATATAAATAAGTTAGAAACGATTTACGACAAAAAACGAGCGTACTTCGCGTTTCTCGCAGACTTCGACGTCGAAAACTTGGAATAACCCGTCCCGTCGTCGGAACTTTGCTGACGACGCCGGTTTTCTTCTCATTTACATATATATATTTATATATATATATTTATTTATTTATTCATTTATTTATTTATACTTTGTTTTATCTATATATTTATATATTCATTTATTTATTTATTTATTCATTTATTTATTCGTTTATCTGTTTATACATATCGCCGAGTAATGGTATTCAGAGAATGAGATGGGTGCCGCGTATCGTCGTAGGCGTGCCCAGTCGCGGGAAGAAAAGAAAAGCCGCGGAGGTGGGATCCGCGTTTCGTTCGTTTTTTTTTCGTTTCCCCCTAGAAAGTAACCAGGACTCGCCGCGGCGGTCCGTCCGCTAATGCCCGGTTCAACGATTACACGCGCGGCAGCAGCCAGAACGAGTCTCGGGGAAACGAGAGTCACGCGAGGATCCCTCGGCTTTTCTTTTCCCCGTTCCGAACACCTTTCGCGGTTCCAGAGGGAAAAGAGAATCAACGGGATTAAGACGGTCCTATGGCGGATGATGGGTTTGCGGGAATCACACGAGAGTTCCGATTCTGGGAGAAGAGCGCGATGTCGCCGTCTGCGTCGCCGATCGCGCACGACCGATGTCCACGGGGCGTGGTGGGGGAAACTCTCGGAAGCAGACCGATCGAAAATGTTCTCGAAGGAAGCGACGTCTGCCGGCCGATCGGCAAACTAGGGTTGCCCGCCTGGGGAACCGCAGTTTGCCGAACGAGGAATACGTGTTTGAAAACGATCTACCCGCGGCGTAGACTCTTCGACCGCGCGTTTCTGCTAGCGGACCACGGAAGTTTGGAAGCTGAACGAGAAGTCGGACGCGTGAACTGCGGTCTCTGCACCGTGGATTGGTCGAACTGTTGCAAACAAAAGTATGGGAAACGAGGTTAATAAATTGTGAGAAAATCGTGACACGCCCGTGGTCCGGTAAAATTCGCGTTCGACGAATCGAGGAGTCTACCCGGCGCGCGTCGAAAGTCCCTAGCAGTTCCCGATAACGTCTCGGGGATTGCTAGGGACGGGAAGACCCGGTGAAACTGTAATGGCGGCCGAACTTGGCCGAGCGGAAGAAGAAGAGGAAGAAGAAGAGGATTTCCCCGTGGGTCCATGAGGCGACGACCGGTCCCGAGTGACTCTAGGAAGACCGATATCTCACGGTACGAAAAGAAAACTGCGTAATCCGAACGGCGAAAGGGGGAGGGGGCGGCGGTGATAAAAAATCTCACGAAGGGACGACATCGTTTGAATCCTAATTCGTCGTAAACTTTCTCGCTCGTAACTATATACGCACGGTACATACAAACGCTTCTCCTCCGGCTCGTTACTCTATTACTCTCTACCTGTCTCTCTCTCTCTCTCTCTCTCTCTCTCTCTCTCACGATCTCTCTGTCCCATTCTCTCTGACGCGCGCGCGCGGCACATACACGGACGCGGATACGAATACATGTACATAGAATATATACAAAACGTTTTTGGGGTGGGGGGTTGGTTGGGGCGGGTGGAGTTTCTACCAAGCACTCTCGTTGCATGCACGCTACACGTCCTATCGCTCGCGAACAACACACGCTCCCTCTCTCTTTCTCTCTCTCGCTCTCTTTCTCTTTCCGTGTCTCGTTCTCTCTCTCTCTCTCTCTCTCTCTCTAGAGTAATCCTCGAACGCGGATCGCAGCGAAAGAGGGAGAAAAAGGAATCGGTCACGCGATTCGAAAGGAAAATAGCGAAGCAAGAAAGACGAGAGAAGCGAGAGAGAATCTCGAGAACTATCGGAACATTGATATACTCGGGTGATCGGGCGGGTGTTGGCGTGTTTTTTGGGGGGCGTCGTGGGTCGGGGCGCGCGCGGGGGCGTTCGGATACGATAGAATAATATTAATAATAATTAGAATAATAATAATATAATAATAATATAATAATAATATTAATAATAATAATAATAATAGCGAAATAGTAAATAATAGTAAATAACAATAATNCACGATCTCTCTGTCCCATTCTCTCTGACGCGCGCGCGCGGAACATACACGGACGCGGATACGAATACATGTACATAGAATATATACAAAACGTTTTTGGGGTGGGGGGTTGGTTGGGGCGGGTGGAGTTTCTACCAAGCACTCTCGTTGCATGCACGCTACACGTCCTATCGCTCGCGAACAACACACGCTCCCTCTCTCTTTCTCTCTCTCGCTCTCTTTCTCTTTCCGTGTCTCGTTCTCTCTCTCTCTCTCTCTCTCTCTCTAGAGTAATCCTCGAACGCGGATCGCAGCGAAAGAGGGAGAAAAAGGAATCGGTCACGCGATTCGAAAGGAAAATAGCGAAGCAAGAAAGACGAGAGAAGCGAGAGAGAATCTCGAGAACTATCGGAACATTGATATACTCGGGTGATCGGGCGGGTGTTGGCGTGTTTTTTGGGGGGCGTCGTGGGTCGGGGCGCGCGCGGGGGCGTTCGGATACGATAGAATAATATTAATAATAATTAGAATAATAATAATATAATAATAATATAATAATAATATTAATAATAATAATAATAATAGCGAAATAGTAAATAATAGTAAATAACAATAATAATAAATTAGTTCTGTACAAAGTTTCGCAATTCGAGCATGATAGAATATTAACACCTAAAGAACGGGCCGAACGACGGTTTATCCGCGACGTCGTCCGCCCCCACAGCATCTCGTTTATGTATAGCGCGTATACATACACAATATATACTCTTTCTTCGTGCTCGGTCCGTCGAGCTCCTCACTTAAAAAAAAAAACAAAATAGCGACAGGACAAAGTTATAGAAAAGAGAAACGAAAAGAGCGCGGGTTTCAGGGGCGGGGGCGGAAAGTGTTGGGGGGTATAGAAAAAAATGATACAATTGTCTTTTCCATCGGGACAAAAAGAATGCTCCCTCGTCCGCGAGGATCGTCGCCCGGGTCTCTCTTCTTCCGTGTCCTGTGGTCCTCCCGGGGTGGGCGGGCGGTCTTTGATTAAACTCTGCAACAAGCCGCGTGCGATGATCGCGCTCACGCGTTCACAAGGGTAGTAAGTAAAAAACCGCGCGTCGGGAGAACCGCACACCACCAGACGTCGTTTCCCCGTGTGTGTGTGTGTGTATACTCGACACTCGAGAATGGCGACCCGATAAACGAACAAACGAAACAGAATTTCAAGGAGTTCGCTCACACTGACAGCAGCTTTGTCACGATTCGCGGGCCTCGCACCGCGCGAGCGGCAAGGAACCGACGACACACAACAAGTAGTAGACGAGTTCATGAACGTTGGCTCCAACAAAGAGGGCGCGTTGCGGTCGGTGGCCTGGGGCACCGGTGGAACTACACTTCCGTCGCGAGCGTCGCCGCCAGCGACGAGTCGTGCCTGTAATGATCGTCTATCACGTACACCCCGCAGCCGGAGTCCGCTGGACCGCCGCCACCCCCGCCGCCGCCGGGCGGTCCGGTGCCCCCTTCGGTGATGGACTGCGGCGGCCTCTTGAGCAACGCCGCCTCCGCCGCGCAACAGCTGTCCGTGGCTCCGTTCCCGACGAACACCGACGACCTCTTCGCGGACTCTATCACACCGACGCCGACGCCGACGCCGATCCCGAGACCCAGTCCCAGGCAGTCCTTCTCCTTCTGGAATAGATGGGACGCCCTGTGCGCCGCGGCCTCGGTGTTCAGCTGCTTGGTCGTCCGCGTTCGGCCGTCCTGCAGCACCGGTTCCGGCTTGTAACCCGAGCACGAGCTGTCCAGCGTGACGTCCGTTTGAAACGACGAGTCGAGGTCGTCCTGTCTGGCGGACGCGGCGTTGTTCACGCTCTTGTTCGCCGTCCATGTGTTCTTGATCATGTGCGCGTCCCCTGTGCCCAGGGTGCAGACGCTGCCGCCGCCGACGCCGCCGGAGATCATGCCGCTGCCTGCGCCACCCAACAGCCCGACGTTCCCTATGCCGACGGTGCTCCCGGTGGAACCGACGGTGCCGCCGACGCCGCCCATCACGCCGCCGCTCCTCTTGCTCATGCTGCTGTGCACCGCGTTCCTCTCGTTCTGCAGCCTGGCCTCCTCGTCGGCCTTGGCCTGCTCGCGCTTCTGCCGCCTCTTCATGCACATCACCGCGACCGCAGCCACGAGGATGAACGCCGGCACCGCGGTCGACAGGGTCGCTATCACGACCACGTGCTCGGTGGTCAGCCCGGCGTCCCTCGGCTCGGCGGACGCCACGTGCCTCGAGAGATTCCCGGACCAGTAGCTGGCCCCCGACGGCGGCACCGCCGGCACCGCCGTGTTCGACGACGGCGAGGCCCCCGCCGCCGCCGCCGCCGAAGCCGCCGCTGCGGCCGACGCAGCGGCCGCCGCCGCCGCCGCTGCCGCGGCCGCCGGCAACACGGAGGAGGTCCCTACGCTGCCTACCTCCTCGGCGCAGGTGTCGCCGTGCCAGCCGTTCGGGCACTCGCAGATGAACCCGTTCACCCGGTTGCGGCATGTGCCGGCGTTCTTGCAGGGCGCGCTGCGGCACTCGTCCACGTCCACGCTGCAGTCCTTGCCGGTGAAGCCGGGCTTGCAGTCGCACCGGTAATCGTTCGTCCCGGAGATGCAACGGCCGCCGTTCGCGCACGGTTTCGCCAGACAGTAGTCGACCTTGTCCTGACAGATCCGGCCGACGTATCCCGGCACGCACTGGCACCGGAACTGGTTCACGAGATCGACGCAGGTCGCGCCGTTCAGGCAAGGGTCGCCCTGGCAGTCGTCGATGTTGGTCTCGCACCGTTCGCCGGTGTAACCGGCCGGGCAGGCACACCTGAAACCGTTCACGATGTCGGTGCAGCTGCCGCCGTTCTCGCACGGATTCGGCGAGCACTCGTTCAGCTGGGACTCGCAGTCGTTGCCGGTGTAGCCGGGAGGACACCGGCAGACGTAGCCGCGCAGAGAGTCGTCCTCGCAGGTGGCTCCGTGATGGCATGGCGAATCGCGACAGGATCTCGTGCTAATCTCGCAGTGACGACCGCGCCAGCCGGGCGGACAGGTGCACTTGTACGCGGTGCGATGCTGTTGCTGTTGCTGATTCTGCTGCTTCGAGGACGAGGAAGATTGGTCCTGCTGCTGCTGCTGCTGTTGCTGTTGCTGCTGGTTCGTCGACTTCGACGGACCGGCCGACGACAGGCTCGCGTTGCTGTACGACGAGTCCATGCTGCAGGAGCCGCCGTTCAGGCAGGGCTTCGAGTGACAGTCCAAAAGCGGTTTCTCGCAGTCGGTGCCGGTGAAGCCCGGCGCGCACGAGCAGGTGTACAAACCCAGGCCGGTGTTGAAGCAGGTGCCGCCGTTCATGCAGGGCTTGTGATTCGTGCAGTAGTTCAGGTCCTGGTTGCAGAACAGACCGCCCCAGCCCTCGTCGCACAGGCACTCCCAGGGCTTTTGGCAGCTACCGTGAAGGCAGCCCGGGTATCTCATGCACTCGTCGCAATAGGTGCCCTCCCAGCCCTGGCTGCATCTGGGAACAACAAGAAAACAGAGCCGATCCGTTAGCCACAGCCTTCTTCCATCCTGTTCTTCTTATTCTTAATTCTTGTCGCGAGGCTCTGAATTTATCGTTTATTTCGATAGGCGTCTCTCAGCGGCTGCCTCTTCGAAATACAGTAGTATGTCTCTCTAAGTGACGCTCGGATTGTGCAGAAAAGTGGACAATTTGGGAAGAGGAGATACGATTATTCGAGGTTTGCGGTTCGTTTTCGTAGTTACGAATTGTCAAGAAATATAAAAACGAGCTGCAAGGCTCGAATAATCGTTATCTCCTTTTCCCAAATTGTTCATTTTTGTGATCAATCTGGGCGTCAGTAAGGGAGACATTACTGTATTCGGTATACATTAATGTCTCCCTAATTCTGTCCTGTCCACAAAAATGAACAATTATGGAAGGGGAGATACGATTATTCGAGCCTTTGCGGGTGGCTTTTATAGTTACAAATTGTCAAGGTTATGCTAAAGCTATGTCAAGGTCCGAATAGCCGTATCTCCTCTTCTCGAATTGTCCATTTTTCTGCACTATCTGAGCGTCACTTAGGGAGACATTACTGTAGCCGGTCATCACACACAGAGACAGAGAGAGAGACAGCGAAATTGAGAGGGGGTCTAATCGCGAGGAGAATCAAGGATCGCCGAAAATCCCGGGTCTCTCGAAAGAATGTTCCAAAGAGGAAAGAGGGTTCCGGTCCGGGCCGCGCGGGAGGGGGACGAAAAAAGAGAGTCTTTGCCCGCGACAGAGGATACGCAAAGGTGGCCACGGCAAAGCCGGAGAGAGCTCGGACGAGATGAAGAAGAAGAAGAAGAAGAAGACGAAGAAGACGAAGAAGAAGAAGACGAAGTCGAAGATAGAAAGGATTGAAAGGAAAAGAGAGAAAGAGACGAAATCAGAGAGAGAGAGAGAGAGAGAGAGAGAGAGAGAGAGAGAGAGAGAGAGAGAGAGAGAGAGGAAGAGACGAAATCAGAGAGGGAGAGAGGGAGGAAGAGGCGAAATCAGAGAGAAAGAGAAAAGAAGAGGCGAAATCAGAGAGAAAGAGAAAAGAAGAGGCGAAATCAGAGAGAAAGAGAGAAGAAGAGACGAAATCAGAGAGAAAGAGAGAGAGGGCGGGGAGGATATGGTGGTCGGCCATTACGTGCAAGGGGGTTACGCTGGCGCAGGAAGGACAAAGAGGCGCGGAGGGAGAAGGCGGCCGGGCGGGAAGGTGTGCGCGTGTACGTACGCGCGTATTACGGGGTCGCGAGCCTGTGTGTTCGGCCCCGTATGCGTGGCATGGGCGCTCGAGCGCGCGCGCGCTCGCGCGTGTGTGCGCGCTCGGAGAAAGAAGAAAGACAGGTAGGAATAGACCGGAGAGACGGAGCGGGAGCGAGAGAAAAAAGGAGAGAGAGAGAGAGAGAGATCGACATCGGGAGAAAGAGATCGAGAGAAAAAGAGAGAGAGGGAGAGAGAGATCGGGATAGCCGGCGCAGAGAGGGGTGCGGCGGGGTGTTGTGTGCGAAGGGAGAGGACCGCGGAGGAACGAGGAGGGAGGAAGAGCCTGAGCGCTCGCCGCTCGAGAGAGAGAGACGGGAGAGGAGATAGAATTCGAGGGAGAGTGGGGAGACGAGTCGTCGAGTAGTGTTCCCACGGTTCGAGCCTCGGCACAGCCGTTCAGTATGCGGGTCAAGGAAAGGTTACGCTGCTCTCTGTGTGTGCGCGCGCGCCTTGCTCTGCCCACCAACACACGCCGGCACCTTCTTCGCGAGCCACCTTCCTTTCCTACGTGGCGCGAGCGCGCGCGCGCGCTCCCGCGAGTACGTGTGCTCCTCACGGTGGGTATCCGCGGCGTGCCTTGTATGTGTGTGTGTGTGTGTGTGTGTGCACGGATCGCGGCGGACAGAGGGAAAGAGAGAGAGAGAGAGAGAGAGAGAGAGAGAGAGAGAGAGAGAGAGAGCCGACAGAGCCGTCGACGTCGCATGACTATACCATTAAATCCCGTGTACTCGCGCGGAGAGCCCGAGCGTAATCGAGAGAGCCCGTCGTCTTCTTCCCTCGCGAGAGAGACCAAGATCGTGAGCGCCGGCGATCGCTCGCTCGCTCGCGCGCGCGCGCGCGAGACCGAGCGACCGGAGTTAGGATCCGAGTCGGACAAAGAGAGAGAGAGAGAGAGAGACGGGAAAGAAACAGAAAACCACCGGTACGAAACGACCGGCCGAACTGTGCCGCGGATCTTCGTCGACTCCTCGTGGTCGTTTGTACATACGCGCCTAGCCAACGAGACGCGAGAACCGCGGCCGATTCCTCGAACCGTTCTCCGGAGAGGCCCCGCGCGGCTCTTCTTCCCGAGCCGAGCCGAGGGGCCCGCGACAAACGCCGATCGCTATCGACGCGCCTCGAAAACCGTGGCCCCGACGCGAACGCGGAATCATATTTTCGAAAATGGACGGCCTAGAGACGGAGAGGGAAAGGGGGGGTGAGTCTCTCGGGTCTCTGCGATATAAACGTTTCTGGGACCAGCTGGAATTCCGGTGAATTACGCTGCTCTTACGGTTTCGGCGTCAGTTCCAGCGATTTAATTCGAACGTTTTCTAAACGAAGTCGCTTTTAACAGCGGCCCGTTTTTCCGCGGGCGCGTTTCCCTGCGTCCGCGGGGAAACAGGGTCGTAGGAGAATGGACGCGCGCGTGCATCTCGCGACAGGTATCTACACGCTATGTGCTCGGCTACCTCGTGACTGTGATCTGATTACGGCCGGCGCACGGGGTGCCGTGAAAGTCAATTATTCACGCGGTTCCAGCAACCGGCGACCTCTCGGCGTGTCTCCCGTATTAATTGATTGCGCAAAGCCGCGCGAAGCGTCGGGACCGTTGACGGAACTTCCGCGATCGAAGATCGAAGCGCGGAGACGCGCGCGCGCGGATGAGAAAAGAAGATCCTCTCGACGAAGATCGAAGATCGTTCCGTTGATCCTCGGAAACGCGGTCGGGCGCGCGTTTTCAGTCGATCCGAAAATCGTTCCCGGGGCGATTGCGTAACGAGACGCGGGGCCCGGTCCCCGCCGCGGGTGGTTCGATTCTCGAGGGAAGAGAGAGAGAAAAAAAGAATCGCGCGGAATGCCAGAACGGAATGAATCGGTCGCGCGATTAGGGTTTCGAGCCGCGTGCCTCTCTATGCGTGGAAATAGCCGATATAATCGGTAAACGCGGTTTCCATTGGAAGAACGCGCGCCGGGGCCTTCTCTCTCCCTCTCTCTTTCTCTCTTAGGATGGGATGTTGGCCCCGTTCGTGATACGTGAAAGAATCGTCGCCGGGCTCCCATGGCGTCCCATTGAAATTTCGGAGTCCGCGTTCGGTCGTGCGCCGCGGCGTCTGAATACCGATGAAGATGATGCACATCGTGCATCATTCCCGGCTTTCTCTCCCCGTTCCGAACACGGCCGCGGCACGGAACGGGGCCCGTAATCTGGGTCTCTATTTCGATCTCGCTTCCCATAAACGTCGTGCGAACACGCCGGGTCTCTACTCGCGATCCGTCCGCGACGACGACGACGACGACGGCCGACGAAACTCGTCGATCGTTCGTTCGTTTCGGGACAGGAATTTTCCGAACGGTTTCGCGGCGGCTTCCGTTCCCCGTTCCATTCCGTTCCGTTCCGTTCACGGCGGTCCAAAGTCGGTGAATCGTTCGTTTTGGGACCGAAATTTTCCGAGCGGTTTCGCGGCGGCTTCCGTTCCCTGTTCCATTTCGTTCCATTCCGTTCCGTTCCGTTCACGGCGGTCCAAAGTCGGTGAATCGTTCGTTTCGGGACCGAAATTTTCCAAGCGATTTCGCGGCAGCTTCCATTCCGTTCCCTGTTCCATTCCGTTCCAGTCTGTTCCGTTCCCGGCGGTCGAAACTCGTCGTCGATCGTTCGTTTGGGGACCGGAATTTTCCGAGCGGTTTCGCGGCGGCGGCTTCCGTTCCGTTCCCCGTTCCATTCCGTTCCGTTTACGGCGGTCGAAAGTCGGTGAATCGTTCGGAGCGGATCAGTGCGCGAGCCCCGACGCCGACGTCGCCGGCTAACGGGACAATTAACCCCGGCCGGTGGAGTAATTAGATGATCGAGTTAACTCCAAACCTCGGGTTAACGTCGGGCCCCCGAGATTCGAGCGAAGACGAGAATATATCACGCGAAATTAACGGGGCTCAACGCGGCGACTCAATTCGACCACGCCACACGATTCGATTATCTTTAACGCTGGAAATGGAATTATCGTGTACGCAACCGCAATGCCGACGTGAAACGAGTAGCGCGTTTCTCTTTCTCTCTCGTCCGGATTCAAAGGATAACCGGCCGGGCCCGGCAAATAAATGCTCGACGAAACAATCGAACGCCAGATTCAAAAATATTACGTATATATTATATATAATATTATATATAATTATATATTATATATTATAATTAATTATAGTAATATATTATATATAATTATATATAATATTGCGTAGACGCGCGGCCATTAAAACGTTAATAACAATAACAAATTTGCGCATAGTTCTTTTCAAGTCTCATTGCATTATCAATAGGACGCTAATCTCACGAAATAAATAAATGGTCAAATAAAATATGTCCACGAGCAAGAGAACAAAGTTCGCGCGATCTAAAAATGAGCGACACATTCGGACTAATTTCGATTCACTGATACAGTGATGTCTCTCTAATTGTACATTTCTGAGGACAATCTGAGCCAAGGTTGTTGCTAGCTTATTGCAAGCTTATTGCGAGCTTATTGTCAAGGCTATTGATAGCTAATTGCAAGCTTATTGCTAGCTTACTGCTAGCTAATTGCAAGCTTGTTGTCAAGGTTATTGCTAGCTAATTGCAAGCTTATTGCTAGCTAATTGCAAGCTTATTGCTAGCTTATTGCCAGCTTATTGCAAGCTTATTGCTAGCTTATTGCTAGCTAATTGCAAGCTTGTTGTCAAGGTTATTGCTAGCTAATTGCAAGCTTATTGCTAGCTAATTGCAAGCTTATTGCTAGCTTATTGCCAGCTTATTGCAAGCTTATTGCTAGCTTATTGCTAGCTAATTGCAAGCTTGTTGTCAAGGTTATTGCTAGCTAATTGCAAGCTTATTGCTAGCTAATTGCAAGCTTATTGCTAGCTTATTGCCAGCTTATTGCAAGCTTATTGCTAGCTTATTGCTAGCTAATTGCAAGCTTATTGCTAGCTAATTGCAAGCTCATTGCTAGCTAATCGCAAGCTTATTGCAAGCTTATTGTCAAGACTATTGCTAGCTAATTGCAAGCTTATTGTCAAGGGAGACACATTACTGTATTTCGCGCACGGATCGTACGACAACAAATAATAACTAATAAATTCGTATAATTCATTTTTTCGTTTCTACAATCGATTTCGCGCTCGATTTATTTCGTGCATCGCGCGCAAAGAGAAACAACAGAACGTCGGCCACGGGCATCCGCGACGCGTTCGTCGAACGGTTTCGGACGCGTCCGCGATTTTCGAATGATCTCTTTTGGAAACGGTTCGCGATGGGATCCGTGACATCGGCCGTCTAGGAAAAAGAATGCGATTCCCGTCGCCGGCGGCGGGAGAAAAAAGAGAGGATCGTCGTCGAATAGAACAGGAACATCTTTTTGCGCCCGCGTATTTATAGGCCGGGGAGAAGGATTCACGCGAACGCAGAGATTCCCCGGATCGATCTCTGGCCCCGTTGCGTCTGCAATCTTTCTTTCCCGAATCGAATTAGAAAGGGTTCAACGACTCTGCCTTCGACTCGGCCGGCGCTCCGCGACCATCTCGAAAAGTGTGCGCGCCGGTCGCTCTCGCGAGAATGGAAGAAAGAACCGAGCGAAATCGGAATTCGCGCGACGAGAGAAGAAGCTTCGATCGACGAGGGGCTCGCGATCGAAAGCTCGACGCGGTTCGATTCGTTCTCTCTGGTTTCTGCGTGCATTTTATCGCGAAGATGCGGAAGAATCTTCATTGAGAAACTTCTGATGGTCTTTTTTTACGGACGGACTCGTTTCGATTCACCGGAGTGCGGATTTTTTAAGCGAAATACGAATTGCCAAGGTTGTTGCTAGCTTATTGCTAGATTATTGCGAGCTTGTTGTCAAGGTTATTGATAGCTAATTGCAAGCTTATTGCTAGCTTACTGTCAAGGCTATTGCTAGCTAATTGCAAGCTTATTGCAAGCTTATTGCTAGTTTATTGCAAGCTTATTGCTAGTTTATTGCAAGCTTATTGCTAGTTTATTGCAAGCTTATTGTCAAGGCTATTGCTAGCTAATTGCAAGCTTACTGTCAAGGCTATTGCTAGCTAATTGCAAGCTTACTGTCAAGGCTATTGCTAGCTAATTGCAAGCTTACTGTCAAGGCTATTGCTGGCTAATTGCTAGCTAAATGCAAGCTTATTGCTAGCGTATTGTCAAGGCTATTGCTAGCTAATTGCAAGCTTGTTAAGGCTATTGCTAGCTAATTGCAAGCTTATTGCAAGCTTACTGTCAAGGCTATTGCTAGCTAATTGCAAGCTTATTGCAAGCTTGTTGTCAAGGCTATTGCTAACTAATTGCAAGCTTATTGCAAGCTTGTTGTCAAGGCTATTGCTAACTAATTGCAAGCTTATTGTCAAGGTTATTGCTAGCTAATTGCAAGCTTATTGTCAAAGCTATTGCTAACTAATTGCAAGCTTATTGCCAAGGTTATTGCTAGCTAATTGCAAGCTCATTGCAAGCGACTAAACAAAAATTTAACATCTTCTCCTATTCACCTCATTCTCGATTTTTACGTTCGCCCGTTACTTTCTTACTAATTTAAACCGCGCGCAATAGACAGAGCAATAATCCGAGCGATACAAAATGACAGACCAGGAGAATTTCGATTTTGCACGAAGATCGATCCTTAGTCCAGTTATTAGCACGGTCCGAGCACGATCCCAGCGAGCGGGGAATGCAATATCGCGCGCGGCAGAAGAGGATCACGGCGAGCCGGAGAAGAGAGACAGCAAGGTGAGGGGGAGGGGGAGCGGGGAAACGAGAGGTTGTTGTAGGTGTGCATTTCTTCGGCGTACGTCTATCTTCTGTACGTAGAAACGTGTACGGCGTGTATACGTGTATGTGTGCGCGCTCGCGCGCACATATAAATGCCTCTACGTATACACATCTCTACGTGAACAACGCGTGAGTGTGTGTGTGTGTATGCGTATACATATATATATATATATATATACTCACATGCATTCGTCGGGTCGCTTGCACTGTCCGTGCTGGTCGTCGCATCCGGGCAGGCAGAGGGCTGAAACGAGCAAGAAAAAAATCGAAAAGGTTAAGGCAACTCTCCGCGAGAGGTCGATCGCGTCCCTCACGACTGCACGAGCGACCGGTACCCATACGATGCATCCCGATGCGCATTCCTCTACTATAGTAGTCGGGTACTGGAACTACGATAATTCACCGGGCAGAGACGATCGCCGTTTAATCGATGCCGCGAAGCCGTTTCGACGGGGAGAAAAATCGGTTGCCGACCCGCGTGGTCGTCGACCGTCGTAGTCGTTGTACGTTCGATAGACGATATTTTTCTACGTCGGAGTCAAATCACCCCCCTCCCCCCCTCAAGACTTTGAGAGCAGTTTACGATCGAGGACGATCGAGGATGATCGTTCATTGTTCTACTTAATTGTTCTAATTCTGTGAAATTGGCTCGTTCGTCGATTCCCAATTTTTATCAGGTTGCGTCAAAAATATTATAGTAGATATTATTATTGTTATAAATATTATGTAAATATTAGAAATATAATATTAATATTAATTATATTATAATATAATATAAATATTATAATATAATATTAATATTAATTTTACTATAATATAAGTATAATAATATAATATTAATATTAATATTAATATTATTAATAATATATTATTATATATGTTCGATTTATTGTAATATTTACCGAAGTTCATTTCCTCATTTTTTCCCTCGAATATTTTTCAAGCTAAAATAATAATTGTACATTTACAGTTCAAATAGCTTCGATCTGCAAAGGGTTAAAACAGCGCGTTCTCATCGTGCATCGATCTGCCGAACGTGGATTCGCGGTAGAAGGGAAATCGCAGTGGCAACAGGTAGGTGTGTGCCCGACGGAAAAACGAACCGGCGGGCATCGTTCGAGATGAAACCGGAAACACAGTCTTCAGCCGAATGACACAGTGAGACAAAACGCCGCTCGTCGCGTGCGAATTCATCGCGAAGGGAGAAAAAGAGCAAAGCAGAGCGGAGCGGCGGTCGGCGGTGGTCCTGCCGAGTCCATGGGAAGAAGATGAGACTGGCGTCGTTCACACCTCGAATTCCCGATGTGGAGCCGAGGGCTGATTAAAATTGCTGTCGCACGGAGGCCACGAGCGTCGTTCCCGTTTTCCGGGAATCCTGGATGGGAACGGAGTCTGACCCGCGCGCGATGCCTCGCATAGCTGCACGTACCCGCCGCTTCGTACCGCTCCGCACCGCGGCGAGCGGGTACGGGACGACGGCGGGTCGGTCCTCGTCTTCGTCGTCGTCGTCGACGTCGCTCGCTTGTCCCGCAAGCCTGATAAAATTGTGTCACGTGCGAAGATCCGTATCTTATCGACGCGGCCATACGCGCCTCTAACGCCCTACTAATTGGCCAATTGCCTGTCCCCCTGCCCCCCGCGCGCGACGAATAAACTTCTTCCTCCTCCGTCTCTTCCATCGCAACCTTCTCCTTCGTCTTCTTCTTCTTCTTCGGAGTCGCGAGACTCTCGAAAACTCCGAATCTCCGGCGTCGCGATGGAAGAAGCGGGTGGCCGCGGCGAAATTGTGTCGACCGAGCGAGAGAGAGAAAGAGAGAAAGAGAGAGAGAGAGGGTTCTTGTCCAGTCCGCAAATACGCGGACGCCGCGTTTGGCCGGCTGCCATCGGTCTTTGCACAGTACCACTGTACAGGATCGTTCACGATGCTCGGCCGGAAATGAACGCGGTCGCCCGCCGACCGTGACACGCCGCGCGCGCGTGACCGCGGCGGCACCCGCGCGCGGAAAAGAGGCCCCGAGACTTCGAGTATCGCGCGCGGTTCCCGAGTTTCAGACGAGTCACCCCCCGAATCGCTCGAGCTTTCGGGACCCCTCTCTCCCGAACTCGCTCGAGCTTTCGGGCCCCCCTCCCCCGAAATCGCTAGAATTTGGATCCACGGCGACAGGAAATCGCGCGCGGAGAAGAGGCCCACGAGGCTTTGGGAATCGCGCGCGGCGTTTCGATGATACACCCTCGAACCGCTCGAGCTTTCGGGGCCCGCGTCGCCCCTCCCCCCTCCCTGAAATTGCTAGAAGAAACCGGCGAACGCGCGACGCGTCTCGTTTTTGGATCCACGGCGACAAGAAATCGCGCGCGGAAAAGATGCCCCGAGGCTTCGGGAACCGCGCGCGAATTTTCGACGAGTTATCCCCGAATTGCTAGAGCTTTTGGGGCCCTCCTCCCCCTGAAATTGCTAGAAGAATCCGGCGGACGCGCGATGAGAAGCGATGCGTCGCGTTATTGGATTCACGGCGACGGGAAATCGCGCGCGGAAAAGAGGCCCACGAAGCTTCGGGAACCGCGCGCTGCGTTTCGACGAGCCATCCCCGAATCGCTCGAGCTTTCGGGGCCCTGATCCCCCCCAAAATCGCTAGAAGAAACCGGCGGACGCTCGACGACGCGTTTTTGGATCCAGGACGACAGGAAATCGCGCGGATTCTTTGGTAACGCGACGCGAGAACGAAACTCAACAATCGCGGCCCCCGGAGGAACAAAACCGGCCATTCATTCCGAAGGATACAAACGGCCGGTGGTGTGCGCGCGCGCGCGTCCATGGGAAAGAGGGAAACGAAGAGGGCCGCCGTTGGACGGAGGGACGAAGAGGAGCGCGGGATACGGCGGAGACGACGAGAAGAAGAAGAAGAAGAAGAAGAAGAGAGACCGCGACCGACCGGCCTCTGCGGAGCGAGCGAGGAATAAAGGTCCGTGGAACGCGGTCTAAACCGCGTGTCTTCCTGAATGAAGGGGTTGAAGGTGGTTCGGCCGGCTAGAAGGTGAACCCTGGAGGAGCTGGTGGGGGCGACCGTGAGGACAGCCGATGGGCTGGTGGGCCGGCGTGACCTTGGCACCGAGCGCAACGGCAACGGCAACGGCCCGCGGAGCGGCTCTCGTCGGCTCTCTCGATGCAGCTCGAGAGGACCGAGCTGCGCTAAGGAGCCTGGTATTTATAGAGACGCGAGCGAGAGAGACCGAGAGAAGCGGCGGAGAGAGCGAGAGAAAGAGAGGAGCATAATCGGAGAGAGCGAGAGGAGAATAATCGGAGGGAGAGAGAGTGAGAGGAGAATAATCGGAGAGAAAGAGAGAGAGTGAGGAGAATAATCAGAGAGAGAGAGAGCGAGAGAGAGAGAGCGCGAGCGAGAGGAGAATAATCGAAGAGAGAGCGAGAGATGGGAATAATCGGAGAGAGAGAGAGCGAGAGAAGAATAATCGGAGAGAGAATGAGGAGAATAATCGGAGAGAGAGAGAGCGAGAGGAGAATAATCGGAGAGAGAGCGAGAGGAGAATAACTGTCTCTTATACACATCTCGATGTGTATAAGAGACAGCTCACTCTCTCTCCCTCCGATTATTCTCCTCTCGCTCTCTCTCTCTCCGATTATTCTCCTCTCGCTCTCTCTCTCTCCGATTATTCTCCTCTCGCTCTCTCTCTCTCCGATTATTCTCCTCTCGCTCTCTCTCTCTCCGATTATTCTCCTCTCGCTCTCTCTCTCTCCGATTATTCTCCTCTCGCTCTCTCTCTCTCCGATTATTCTCCTCTCGCTCTCTCTCTCTCCGATTATTCTCCTCTCGCTCTCTCTCTCTCCGATTATTCTCCTCTCGCTCTCTCTCTCTCCGATTATTCTCCTCTCGCTCTCTCTCTCTCCGATTATTCTCCTCTCGCTCTCTCTCTCTCCGATTATTCTCCTCTCGCTCTCTCTCTCTCCGATTATTCTCCTCTCGCTCTCTCTCTCTCCGATTATTCTCCTCTCGCTCTCTCTCTCTCCGATTATTCTCCTCTCGCTCTCTCTCTCTCCGATTACTGTCTCTTATACACATCTAGATGTGTATAAGAGACAGTAATCGGAGAGAGAGAGAGCGAGAGGAGAATAATCGGAGAGAGAGAGAGAGAGAAGAATAATCGGAGAGAGAGCAAGAAGAGAAAAATCGGAGAGAGAGCGAGAGAGGAGAGTCGGAGGGGAACCGGAGAGGGATCCGGAGGATTCGCCTCTCCGCTCGATTCGGCGGTCTCCGAGACAACCACGGCCAGGGAGAACTCTCTCTCTCTCTCGAATCCCAGGGATTCCTGGACCGACGGCTAAAAACACGCCGCGGGAACTCCGTTCCTGAATTAAACGCGGGATTACGTCCGATCGGGGATTATACTTGGAACGATCATGTGACTGCAAGGTAATACCCCTGGTGCCGTCGACTCGCTGCTCTAGAATGCCGCGGGAACGCCGACGCCAAGGGTATCTCGACGGTTCAAAGTACAGCTGCGCCTTTCGTTAGCCGAGATAGCGACGGCTTCGATGTTTCGGATAATCGAGCGAGTTACGTGATCGGCTTGAGCGGTTAGCTGTGTTCGACGAGTATACTCGTCAGGGAGGAATGGCAGAATTTTGTGTCTTGACGAGTATACTCGTCACGAAGAAGAAGCAATATTTTTTGTCCTGACGAGTATATTCGTCTCGGAGAATCGGCAGTATTTTTTGTCCTGACGAGTATACTCGTCACGAAGAAGAAGCAATATGTTTTGTCCTGACGAGTATATTCGTCTTGGAGAATCTGCAGAATTTTGTGCCCGACGAGTATTCTCGTCACGGAGAATCTGCAGAATTTTGTGTCCCGACGAGTATACTCGTCACGGTTAAAAAATATAGCGATCATTGAACATTAATTTGATCAAATAATACCGTCTTTCCAAATCAATATTTCAACAGCGACGCTTCCTCTGTGTTCGACGAGTATACTCGTCGTCACATTTTCCACTCCTACTAAACAAATATTTCAGAGTTCGTTACGTTAGCCGAAAGCATCGATCTATCGAACGCAATAAATTTACTCGTTTGTTTTTCACAAAAGCATCTTCGATGCTCGAAGCTCGGTTTTGCTTCGCGCAACGAAGACTTTTACTTTAAACATCTAAAGTACTTTAATCGAGAAATTTATTCGATGATATCCTGTTCGACACAGAATGTAATAGCCCGTGCACTTTCGAACAAAGCTT